TGAAATGCCATGTCGTTTGGGACGAAATCATGAATCTATAATGAATCACGTCCAATATGTATTTTCCTTCTTTCCCACGCAACTCTCTCTCTCTCTCTCTCTCTCTCTCTCTCTCTCTCTCTCTCTCTCTCTCTCCTCTCTCTCTCTCATCTATCTTTCTTCTCATTATTTTTCTCTTTTTCTTTCTCTTTCTCTCTCTCTCCATCTTTCGCTTTTCTCTCTCTCCATCTATAATTCTCTCTCTTTTTCTTTCTCTTTCTCTATCTCGCTCTCTCTCTCTTCTCTCTATCTTTCTCTCTTCTCTCTCTCGTTCTCTCTCTCTCTCTCTTCGAAAAAAAAATCTGTTGAAAAATACAGATTTACAAAAAGTAAAAAAAAAAAAAATCAACACAGGACGCGGTCACTTTCCCATTTTACTTTCTTTCCCTTCCTTTGGCTGCGAAGACCAAGCCACCCCCCCCCCCCACCCCCCTTTTTGCCCCCCTAGCCCAACCCTCCTCCGCACGCCCACTCCCACCCACAGGGCCACTGATCCTCACGCCCCGGGGAGATGAATAAAGAGATAAGAGATAAGAGCGATCCCATTCATTCCAGGGAGATTCCCGCGAGTGATGCATTTTCTGGAAGATTCTTTGCCTCCCTCTCCCGGGCGCTGATCTCCGTCCCTCGCTTTGAAAGGATGCCAATGTCTTTTATCATCCTTCTTCTTCCTCTTCTTCTACTTTTTTTTTTTTTTTTTTTTTTTGCTTCCTTTCTTCCATTTATTATTTTTCTAGTTTTTTTATTTATGTCTGGCTTGTGTATATGTTATATGTGTCTATATATTTTTTTTTCTTCCTTTCACACATGCATCTCTCTTTCTTTCTTCTCTCTCTCTCTCTCTCCCTACCTCTCTTTTCTTTTCTCTCCCTCTCTCCTTCGTTTCTCCCTCTTTCCTTCCAAGCTGGGGGACCTCTCTCTCTCTCTCTCTCTCTCTCTCTCTCTCTCTCTCTCTCTCTCTCTCTCTCTCTCTCTCTCTCTCTCTCTCTCTCTCTCTCTCTCTTCTCTCTCTCTCTCTCTCTCTCTCGGAACAGGTCTTAGCAGCATTAACAACTCAGCTCCCATTGACGGCGATGGAAGTACAGTATCATTTGTCTATGGAGACCGATCTACACTGACTGAACATCGTGTCAATAGAGATGGTTATCTATTGCCAGCACAGGGGATTATCAGACTTAAGCACTTGTGGCGAGATATTTATCTGATGGTCGGCCCATTGCTATTTCGGAGGGGAATATACGGTGTGGCGAAGAAAGAAGAAAAAGGAGAAAAAGATGATCGGAAAAAGGGAAAAGAGGAGGAGGAAATTCACTCCGAGTGTGTGTGTGTGTGTGTGTGTGTGTGTGTGTGTGTGTGTGTGTGTGTGTGTGTGTGTGTGTGTGTGTGTGTGTGTGTGTGAAGCTATGTTATCATAAAAAGAAAAGTCTAAATCATTTGAAAATCAGAAAAGAATATTTAATATATATTTTTTTCTTTTTTTTACCCAACATGATACGAAAGAAATAATAAAAAAAATATATTCACCATCCCGTTCTTTTAAATGAAAAATAATTTTTCACACAGATTGAACTTCCTCACCATTTACCATCACCATTATCACTCTTTTAGGCACACGGTTGTTATTCACTACCGACTGAACTTCAATAAAAAAAAACCCTAAACGCATGAAAATATATGATATGAATTCACCACTCCCCGCCGCCCACCACTTGCAAGTTACCAAGACCCTGGACAAGACGCTATTGATTTCTCCAAGTCAGTGAATTTCTTTTAAGGCTTTACGGTCTATCGGGTGTTAGAAAAGCCTTGAGAAGGGTTTGAACGCGAGGACTTGAAAAGCTCTGAAGATCTTACGAAAGATCCAGCAGAAAACACGCCCCCGATGGTTTCCTTCTTGCACGCACACGCACACAAGCACGCATAAACACTAACATGCACACTCAAGCATACACAAGCACGTAGAAGCACAAACACGAATGCACTGACACACACACTCACATGGATTTTGCTAAATTTAAATGCAATGTTTTGGTGTTACGTTTAAATGTAGTGTCTGTAGAAAAAGATTTCATCATCACATCTCTGTCTCCCTCTCTCTATCTGTCTCTGTCTCTCCCTCTCTCTCGTTCTCTCTCTCTCTCTCTCTCTCTCTCTCTCTCTCTCTCTCTCTCTCTCTCTCTCTCTCTCTCTCTCTCTCTCTCTCTCTCTCTCTCTCTCTCTCTCTCTCTCTCTCTCTCTTTTTCTTCCTCCTCCAAGTTCCTTTGAGACTTTGGACAGCGTCTCCCAACATCACGAATATCCGTTTCTTTTTGGCCTCCTCTCGGCTTTTCTTCTTTTTCGAAAATGAATCGGTGAAGGAGAGACACTCCATCTTCCCTCCCCCCTCCCCCCTCCCCCAGGCCACCTTTGATGAACTTTCGGACCAAGAAGGATACTTCAGAAATCCTTCTGTCCTCCCTCCCTCGTTCCTCCCTCCCTTCTTCCATCCTCCTTCCCTCCCCTCCCTCCCTTCCACCCCTTACCAAGGAGGGACAGGGAGATGGGGGGGCTGGGGTAGGGGGTGGGGGATGTTGTATGGAGAGACAGAGAGCCATGACAGTTTACAGTGCCATATCACAGTGCAAACTGATTTCATAATTCTCATAAAAAAATATTCTTCAACTTTCTCTCTCTCTCTCTCTCTCTCTCTCTCTCTCTCTCTCTCTCTCTCTCTCTCTCTCTCTCTCTCTCTCTCTCTCTCTCTCTCTCTCTCTCTCTCTAGCTCTCTCTGTGTGGCTCTTTCCTCCTCTGTCCCTCCTTGCCTCCCTCTCTCGCTCTCGGCCCCTCCTCCACGGTTGAGGTTTCCGCTAGGATAACTTCTGATAAATAAACCATTGGGCTCAATAGATCCTCCAAAACCCACTCGCCTGGAAAACCTTGATACTGGATATCTTTATTGAGGATTTTTACTTATGCAGATGTAAGATGGCTTTTGTGTGAGAGAGTGTGTGCGTTTTCTTTCGGAGTTGGGCAACAGATCTCAGCCATTGGTGCTTGTAACCATTTTTACTCGGTGCTTTGCTTTTTTTTTTCTCTCTCTCCCCTTTTTCTTCCTCGAGCATTTGTAATTTTGTCTTCTTTATATTTCCTTTATCGTCCGCAGTGGTTGTTATGCTTTCAACTACAATGCTTTTAACAATGCGCTCAATTGTGATCGCTTCAACAAGGTTCACTTCTTTTATCATGCGAGGTTCGGTGCAAAAATTGGCCAAATGTGGATGACTCTTGTGAATAGAGGTTTCCCGGCTGTGTCAACCTTAACAGTGGATTTAATCCCATATTCAACGTAATCATCAACCTCTGCCCACGAATATCTACGCGTATTTAACTGTATGGATATTTGCGCATAGTTTGTACAATGGAATTACATGGAAGAGAAAATGGGTATTCGACTTTCAGGTCCCTTGGCGCTCCTGGGGACGCCAACCTCAAACGGCTGAAATCTCGGAAAGCAAAATCTTTTCGAGTTTCCTTTTAAAACGTCGAAGAAGGAAGAGAAAAAACAGCGGGAGGAGCAGCTGGGTTATCCCCTCAAAATTGTCGGTAAGACCCGGGCCTAATACTCGATGACAACCAAGCCGGCTGGGTCGGGTGCTGCGTCCCTCTCCCGCTGCTCTCCGGGTGTCCTGGATGCCCCCTTGCCTCGCTCGCGACTGCTTGGGCGCTGAGAGAGCCGAGAGACCTCGCGCTTCACTCGTACACTCCAAGGGCAGGTTCTTTGCTTCGTTCGGCGCGGCCTGGGTGTTCTGGGGAAGCCCCTCGTTTCACCAGGCAGCGTCTGAAGGGGCTTAGATCAACCTCAGCCCTTACGGCATCCCCTAGGTCGAACGAAATAACGAAAGAGAGGAAGACGAGAGAGAGAAAAAAATAGAGAATAAAAACAAGGGTAGAAATAAGGCTCCACACCCCGGACACGCACGCGGACCACGGCGAGCGGCGCTGACGGCAAAGGTGTTGACGCCGATCTGCCAAATCCCGGGTGTGAGGGCGGGTGACAGGCGGCGGCGGCGGCGGAGGGCGGCAGATGGCAAGATACCAGCTTCGCGAGGTCGGCCAGACACCCAGACAGACACTCGCCCCTTCTCCTCAGCCCGTTCTCCGTTTCAGCTCTTCTGATCCTCTTATTTTATCTCCTTCTCCTACTCCCGTCTCTATTTTTCCTCCTGGTCTTCCTCCTCCTCCTTATTCATATTTTCATGCTTCTGCTCTTCCGCCTCCTTCTGATTCTCTACTTTTCCCCTTCTCTTTCTCTTTCACATTTTCTCCTCTTCCTCGTCAACACCTTTTCCCCTTTCCCCTTCTATTTCTCCTCTTCTGATTTTCCACCTCTCTCTCCCTCACCCTTTCCCTTCTCCCCTCTTCCTCCTTCCTCCTCTTCTCTCCCTCCCTCTCCCTTTCCTTCTCTTCTCTCTCCCCCTTTCCTTCTTTCCTCTTCCTCCTTCCTCCTCCCCCTCTTCTTCTTTTATCTCTCCTTCACCCCCTTTCCTTCTCTCCTCTTCTTCCTTCCTCCTCTTCTCTCTCCCTCTTCTCCCACCTCCTCGTCCACCTCTTCTCCACCCGACGTTTTCGCAGCCCCGCGAGCGTCCCACGAGCGTCAGACCTCTTCCCTCCCTCGCTGAGAACTTTCTGGCTGTCGTGACGTGAACATGACGTTACGACTGATATATGACGCCGATGCAACAGCTGCGATGTGGTAAGCATTTAAAACTATGCACAAGGGCCCCCGTAACCAGCGCCCTCGAGATTATACCGGGGAGAGATTTGGCAACATTATCTACAATCTCAGACGGAGGCTACGGCGAGCGGCGAATGCGAGCGGGCGCAGGTGAGGGGGGAATGGCGTGCGTGTGTGTGTGTGTGTGTGTGTGTGTGTGTGTGTGTGTGTGTGTGTGTGTGTGTGTGTGTGTGTGTGTGTGTGTGTG